CATGGAGCTCTCTGACAGAGTTCCGTAGTGTATAGAGGACCAGATAGTGTCATAGAAGGGGACATCAACAGAACTGGACCACGTTGCTGCAGACACCTCCAGATGAAAGAGCTTTGCCTCAACCCATGTTCAAATTACAAACTTGTGTTGAATTCCAGAGACTAATGTTGAGTTGACCAATTCGAAGCCAGGATAGATCTACAAGGCGGTAGATCATAACGATGCCTTTGCACACCATTTCCAAATGACTACTGTTAAGTCATTGTTTAATCAGTTGTCGTAACTGCTAACTTTTGCTCATACTCTCAATGAGTTGGTTCAATGTCTGTCTGGTCTCCTGTAGCTCAGTTGGTAGAGCATGGTGCTTGCAACGCCAGGGTTGTGGGTTCGTTTCCCACGGGGGGCCAGTATGAAAAATGTATGCACTCACTAACTGTAAGTCGCTCTGGATAAGAGCGTCTGCTAAATGACTAAAATGTAAAATGTTATAGATGGTGGGTAAATATGTTTGGGACCGGCTGTCCTTATTATTTGGAGGGAAGGAAGATCGGTTGATTGAGCTAGCTGAACCCCCAGGGGATGCCGGGAGGCAGATGGCTCTGAGGTGTTGTGGTGTCACCGCTGACTAAACAGATAATGAATTACACCTGGACAAATGGGCTCTGCCATGTGGGAGATGGGGTGTCTTCCCACCAACACAGGAGAGGGAGCAGATGGGAGATTGAGGAGAGGATATGGAAGTGGCGGCCCTCCACTCACTAAACTGCGGAGTCTAAACTCACGTCAGTGTGTTAATATCACTGTTCAACCTTATGTCAGTGTGTTTATGTCACTGTTCATGCAGGGTCATTCATTTGGGTCAAGTATTAATTAATTAATAAACAGAGTGACATCATCCTTGTTTCATTGATCCAATCATAGGGCACAAGCCTGACATTACCCTTTCAAGTCCAGATGAAATTACATGATACAGCACATGCAAACCTATCCAATTACATCCATTAACCTTTCACATATGTTCCACCTTTTGTTCTTGGGAAACAACTGATTTGTTATGACATTAGACTAATGGTGTCTCTCTGGTGACGGACAGCCAGTCATATGGTATCTCTCTGGTGACGGACAGCCAGTCATATGGTATCTCTCTGGTGACGGACAGCCAGTCATATGGTATCTCTCTGGTGACGGACAGCCAGTCATATGGTATCTCTCTGGTGACGGACAGCCAGTCATATGGTATCTCTCTGGTGACGGACAGCCAGTCATATGCAGGGACGGCTTGTTCAATAGGGCGATATGGGCGACGCACTGCCAAACGGGAAAAGGAAGGGATTTTTTTTCTAATCAATTATATCACGGCAACAGCAGTTATCAGTGTTCACGTCTGATCTGCCAGCCACTAAATGTCAAATCAGGCTAAAGTCGTGCTTCAAATGGCCCCGCCCGTTTTTTGGGCGATTTCAGTCAGGTTGAAAATCGCCCAGAAGTCTCTCATAGCCTGTCATGTAAAATCTATTTTTTTCACATTTCAAAGCTTTCAATACATTCTCTATGGGTGTCTGTGTGCATGCACTTACGCGCTTTCGTCATACGTGACGTAACGTTGAACGTAACTAAGACAATGGCGGCTAGCAGAGTCTATGTTGCGACCTGCTGTGTGGCGTTATTTTATGTTTTTAATTTGTAGACTTAGTTTACAAACATTCTGCAAACATTCTGCTTTGGACTGATCTTCGGTTTTGGACTGATCTTGTTGATCGTGTACATACCCGCTACGAACGGACTAAATAATGAAAACGCTGCTGGCAGCGGAATCCCAATACAGCTGGGAGACTTGACTGGATGACAGAGTCCCGGACAGAGAGGTGGAGCCGGCCACCTTCACCCTGGTCAGAGCGGACCGCGATCCTGGTAAGAGAGCGACTCTGTACCCCGACATTGAACTGCTTTCTGTGTCATTGAACCTTACTATTGTTGATAAAACAAGTTTACTGGAGAACGGAGAAAAAGTAGAGACTTTTGGACAAGGTGGATAATTGTATAATATAAGGCAGTTTATTCAGAGGTAAAGATATCTGGAATCGCGTGCACGGACCCGTTCGTCAAACTCGTAGGGAGTTTATCAGAAGAGCCCCTAAACATTGTGTGCTGACATTTTATACAATAAAATGAAGTAGGTTGAATCTAGTAGTTCTGATCTTCTGATTGGTCCTGATGAGTTGGGCGATGTCACCTCCAGGCTAGTGTCACTGTTGCATTGGCTCTGAGTCGGGTTCTCTGTCTTCAGATGTTCAGCCTAAGAGAAGAGGATTTGTGTGTGTGTGTGTGTGTTTGTTATCAGTGATGATGTGTGTGTGTGTGTGTGTGTGTTTATCAGTGATGATGTGTGTGTGTGTGTGTGTGTGTGTGTGTGGGTGTGTGTGTGTGTGTCCTCAGGGCAAGAACTCGTGAGCTGGAAGAACTGAGAGACCTATGGCGTGGGTGTTATCCTTAGCCACCTGCTGACAAGGCTGACAAGATAGGACTCTTGTTCATTGTATTGAATACAAAGGCCCAACACAAAATGGGTCATGCACAAGATTTTAGTCAGACCAAGCTATAACATTATATATTTACTACGACAGTACATTCAACCAAAAGCTAATATAACAAAGGCATCAGAGATTATTTATAATCTGTCACAGAAACTGGAATCCATCTCCCCAGATCAGTCAATAAATGCTTCTGGTATTGACTTATATGCTGCCCCTGTCTTCATGTTGTTGCTGGACATATCTTTTTTAAAATGTGTGTAGGTCACCTAAATCATCAGAAAAATTGCCCCTCCTGAGAATTTTTTCAGGAGCCGCCACTGGTCATATGGTATCTCTCTGGTGACTGACAGCCAGTCATATGGTATCTCTCTGGTGACGGACAGCCAGTCATATGGGGTCTCTCTGGTGACGGACAGCCAGTCATATGGTATCTCTCTGGTGACGGACAGCCAGTCATATGGTATCTCTCTGGTGACGGACAGCCAGTCATATGGTATCTCTCTGGTGACGGACAGCCAGTCATATGGTATCTCTCTGGTGACGGACAGCCAGTCATATGGTATCTCTCTGGTGACGGACAGCCAGTCATATGGTGTCTCTCTGGTGACAGACAGCCAGTCATATGGTATCTCTCTGGTGACGGACAGCCAGTCATATGGTGTCTCTCTGGTGACGGACAGCCAGTCATATGGTGTCTCTCTGGTGACGGACAGCCAGTCATTACTAATGGTGTCTCTCTGGTGACGGACAGCCAGTCATTACTAATGGTGTCTCTCTGGTGACGGACAGCCAGTCATTACTAATGGTGTCTCTCTGGTGACGGACAGCCAGTCATTACTAATGGTGTCTCTCTGGTGACGGACAGCCAGTCATATGGTGTCTCTCTGGTGACGGACAGCCAGTCATTTCGTATCTCTCTGGTGACGGACAGCCAGTCATATGGTATCTCTCTGGTGACGGACAGCCAGTCATATGGTATCTCTCTGGTGACGGACAGCCAGTCATATGGTATCTCTCTGGTGACGGACAGCCAGTCATATGATGTCTCTCTGGTGACGGACAGCCAGTCATATGGTATCTCTCTGGTGACGGACAGCCAGTCATATGGTATCTCTCTGGTGACGGACAGCCAGTCATATGGTATCTCTCTGGTGACGGACAGCCAGTCATATGATATCTCTCTGGTGACGGACAGCCAGTCATATGGTGTCTCTCTGGTGACGGACAGCCAGTTATATGGTATCTCTCTGGTGACGGACAGCCAGTCATATGGTATCTCTCTGGTGACGGACAGCCAGTCATATGGTATCTCTCTGGTGACGGACAGCCAGTCATATGGTGTCTCTCTGGTGACGGACAGCCAGTCATATGGTGTCTCTCTGGTGACGGACAGCCAGTCATACGGTATCTCTCTGGTGACGGACAGCCAGTCATATGGTGTCTCTCTGGTGACGGACAGCCAGTCATATGGTGTCTCTCTGGTGACGGACAGCCAGTCATTACTAATGGTGTCTCTCTGGTGACGGACTGCCAGTATTACTAATGGTGTCTCTCTGGTGACGGACAGCCAGTCATTACTAATGGTGTCTCTCTGGTGACGGACAGCCAGTCATTACTAATGGTGTCTCTCTGGTGACGGACAGCCAGTCATATGGTATCTCTCTGGTGACGGACAGCCAGTCATATGGTATCTCTCTGGTGACGGACAGCCAGTCATATGGTGTCTCTCTGGTGACGGACAGCCAGTCATATGGTGTCTCTCTGGTGACGGACAGCCAGTCATTACTAATGGTGTCTCTCTGGTGACGGACAGCCAGTCATTACTAATGGTGTCTCTCTGGTGACGGACAGCCAGTCATTACTAATGGTGTCTCTCTGGTGACGGACAGCCAGTCATATGGTGTCTCTCTGGTGACGGACAGCCAGTCATATGGTATCTCTCTGGTGACGGACAGCCAGTCATATGGTATCTCTCTGGTCACGGACAGCCAGTCATATGGTGTCTCTCTGGTGACGGACAGCCAGTCATATGGTGTCTCTCTGGTGACGGACAGCCAGTCATACGGTATCTCTCTGATGACGGACAGCCAGTCATATGGTGTCTCTCTGGTGACGGACAGCCAGTCATATGGTGTCTCTCTGGTGACGGACAGCCAGTCATTACTAATGGTGTCTCTCTGGTGACGGACTGCCAGTATTACTAATGGTGTCTCTCTGGTGACGGACTGCCAGTCATTACTAATGGTGTCTCTCTGGTGACGGACAGCCAGTCATTACTAATGGTGTCTCTCTGGTGACGGACAGCCAGTCATTACTAATGGTGTCTCTCTGGTGACGGACAGCCAGTCATATGGTATCTCTCTGGTGATGGACAGCCAGTCATATGGTATCTCTCTGGTGACGGACAGCCAGTCATATGGTGTCTCTCTGGTGACGGACAGCCAGTCATATGGTATCTCTCTGGTG